AAAATGACACTTCATTCACTTCATTATGTGAGATATGAGTGGAAAGATTGCTAATGATCTTAGGGAACCTCAGCGAGTTGGAATCAAACAGTCAGGCTGAGGGGGAAATATAATCCACACGTATCAGACAATCGCAGGCTCTTTCAGTGGCTACAACAGCTTGTCAGGATGGCTTCCATCCAAACATCCATGGCTGCTGCAGTAGGAGCTCTATCGCTGTGAAGCACAGAGCTCGGGGTAAAAAAAATACACAGATATAAAGAAAACACAAATCACTGGAGGGTGTATTGCCTGTTAGCTATATTATTTATTGGTGGAAGTAGACTAGTAGACTACCATGACATCTAAGGGATTTGAGCTGCAGTGGCATGTGCTCTTTACTGTATTTTTAATTCCCCAATTAAGCGCAGTTAGCATTTTTCTAACCAACATCAATAATTCCGCACCCTCCTCTCCCCCCCTGAGCACAGCAAGGACATAAATATTTTAGTGGCAATGAATGCTTCATATCAGTCTGGAATGACATGCAAGTTAACTCAGGACCTTTATGAAATTTCATAAGACAGTGAAAAAATGTGAGTTTAGATTCTCTTCAGGGCGTTAATCTATATTTTTCCATCTCTAATGCCGTTACTTATTGGCTTTGCTTTTTCTTTTTTCTTTTTTATTCTACACACGGTTAAAGGGGATCAAGCCTAATGCTTCTGCAAATGCACATTACGGTGCTCCAACTGTTGTGCAGTAATTAAACTAGAACAATAAATCAACAGGAGTGCACTCAAAAGCAAACTACAGCCTATATTGGGCCAAACCGTGAAACAACCGATAATGAAAGTCTAAGGAACTATTGGAGAAGATGTGAAAACCTGCAGAGATATAAAAAGGGGGAAATGATGCATAGCCTTGTTCCTGGGGGAGTCTTGTGGCGAGTATGATATCATTCCTCACTCTCTCCCTCTCCCTCTCTCGCTCTCACGCACATGCACACACACACGCCTTAAATAACTTTTAATCAAATTTTAGAGTGCAGGTTTTGAGGCTACTTATGATGGAGTTCATAACCAAAGCACACAGGAAGGCAACGAAACCATGGAATGACACTAGCTCCCGTGTGAGGCTTATTCCTCGTTGCATGGGGCTGATGGGTAAAATACCCGGGAAACCTTTCTCAACATAAAGATTTAAAATATCATTACATTGTAAAAAAAAAAAAAGAAAATGTGATAACTAAACTTTTCAAACTCATTTCTATAGAACAAAACAACGGATTCAAGAAACTTTCTAAACTTTTACTCCACTGGATTTGCCGCTTGAAGACCTGTTCCACATTCTTCAAGCGGCTTTTCCCTGGACAAGTTTGTAAACTGTAAGATAAACAGCTATGGATGTGGGCGGTATGTGCGACAATGGCTTATATTCTACCGTATAGGATTTGTAGACTATGTGTGTGTGTGTGTGTGTGTGTGTGTGTGTGTGTGTGTGTGTCTACCTCATAGAGATGAAGACTGGCTTGCACCAGTACCTTCTAGCTTCAAACCAACCCCACTGTGTGCTTCTCTGCTACACTCACTAGCGAGGAGCCAATGCCCTTAATAACCATTTAGCTGCTGCGGCACGCTCGCCGCCCCCCCCCAGTCACAGCCTTAGCCGCTAATTATCTTTCAAAAGCAATGGACATTTCTGTGTTCCCTCAATGCTTCCCCTTTTCTCAGTACAATCAGCCAGCTGCCTTTCCTGGTAGGAATTAGCTCTCTGCACAGGCCTGAAATAACGTCGGCCCGCACACCAGACCGATGTTTGTTCAGTTTTTGTCCAGCCCCCCTGGATTAAAATCTTATACATTCAGAGATCCCATCTTCTCCAAATGACCAGAACCTGCATGTTGAGGAGAAATCATACAAATGTACACAAAAGCAAAGCTGGATATTCCCAAAAAGGGGTTATGAAATGTAAGTATTATATCAGCCCGCCGTTCCGACTATTTACGTCATAATAAAATACCTTTCTGTCAAATGAAAAGATCCTATAACAGAGTAAAGAAATTCCCAAATAAAATGTGGTGACGCTGTAATCTGCACATACACAATGACAAAAGGGTACAATGAAAATGGATGGAATATAATCCAGCTGTGGTTTCCCAAAGGGTTTTACAGCAGTAGCGGAACACCAACCCCTGTCATTATGCTCTTTTATAGAAAAAACAAACATAAACATAAACTCTTTGCTCTCTTTCAGTATTTGCATATTTTTTGTTTGCCTTGAACCAAGGGAAAAGCCAAAATATTCCATCAGAATAATCATTTTCAGAGCTGTAATTCACTGTGACAGCAGAGGGAACAAGCGCTGGGCTACGGGCTGTTTTTGGACCTAGAATCCCGTAAATATAATTGAACTCACAGCTCCTGCCTCGCTGAGCTCTTCCAGTGAGGTCGCCTCCATCAAAGCACATAACCTCTACTTCCCATCGGAGTTGTTCAATGGCCAACAGAGGGCTGTGTTTGTACTGTGTTAATGTGTATTACAGAATGTGAAGTAGCACCCCTACACAACATTGATGTCTGCTCCATGGAACTGCTGCCCGCCACAAAAGCACAGTTCCGGTTCCGCCTGCTCCGGTGAGAAAAGTCAGCAGTGTCCTCGAGTAACAATCGAAAATGGTCATTCGGTCAAGTTGTCGAATCGGGTTTTGGTTTTATTCTTTGCTCATTGACCTCCTTCTGTTTGCAGCTTCAGTATTCGTGTATCGGCAAACTATCATTGGCTATGTAAAGACGCGGTCTGGGACGTTTACCTGAGGAGAGAATGAAGCCACTCTCGCTCAGTGCGCGTTGTAACCGAAGCTTCTCGGGGCTTTTGTTTGCAGAGTCCTGACGCGGGTCCACTGCGTCTGCGGGACGAGCCCGCGGATCAGCCGTCCCTCCATGTGGAGGCAAAAGATACCATCTAAACAACATTTAAGCTAAATCTATTTATCTAAATAGTGAAAAAAGAAAAACATGTACGCAACTATTAGTTAGTTGGGTGTTTCGGAACACACAGTTGTGTGTGTGTGTGTGTGTGTGTGTGTGTGTGTGTGTGTGTGTGTGTGTGTGTGTGTGTGTGTGTGTGTGTGTGTGTGTGTGTGTGCACACATGGGGCACTATTAATATTATGAATAGCCTGCCAATTATACCAATTAGGCTATATATCATGATTTATGGGAGAAACCAAGCAAAGCTAAGTACAATCAGGCATTCAGCTCCCCCATCCCAACGGAATGTACCACATTTTACCACCACTGCAATGCTTTGGCAATCAAATCAGGACCCTATAAAAAAAAACTTCTGTTAAACAAAAAGGGATTCATAATGCAGACGAAGCATTTTTCTTATTGCTTTTCTTGTCCTCTATGGTATCGGCATATTAAATATATAAGTCAGTGGATACAAAAGTAGTTTACTACAAAACATTGCATCTTGGTAAAGTGTAAATTTAAAAAATGATAGTTGACGTGTCATCCTCGTGTAATAATGCCTTTTACAGTTGAAAACAAAACTACTCCATTGACAAAATATTATTATAGTATTATTCCAACCATCTCAGTGTGCTACCTTACATTGGGCTGCGCCCCACCTAATATAAAGCAGAGGGCAGAGAGATTGGAAGATGGATGGATGGAATTCCTTTGGCAATAACAGGATAAACTATACGCTTTAAAGGGGACCTAATACGACAAACAAATTGTGATACTACACGTTAATTTGGGTATCTGGCATGTCGCTGGTTTAGTTTCCTATATGAAGACAATGTCCCAGCTAGAATTGGGAATAAGCTGTGTGTTTCTGCAAATTATTCAGAAATGGCCTGTTGAACCCTAAATCCTGGATCTTGTTGGAGAGGCTGAACTTGTTGTTCAGGGTCGGACTGGTTCAAAGCCATGTGGTTGTAGGTGTAACCGACAGATAGACAGTGACGGCCGCCGAGGGGACGTGCAGAGACTTTTATTACCTTTGCATCTTTTCCCCCGTGTCGGAACAGGAAAATAGACTAATTCAGTGGGATGATTGGAATCATACAATAATTGCATTTCTATCAAAGATCAGTGGACGAATTTATTTATTTATTTTTAATCATTTGTGTTTTTACATTTCATGATGACACAGGGGAGGCGTGCCATGCAAGGCTGGAACCACGGAGGAGTGTGGCTGGTGGAGGAGACAGGGGGGAGGGGGGTTGGCTGCTCATTAGCATTAAGTTTTGAGCAGAGCTGAAAAGGATGCCGTTAAAAATGATCCTTGTGGTATTTTGACCAAATTATATTTAAGACATTTCATTCAGACCACAAAGCACCATATAAACTTGTAGGTAAAAGGGCATAATATGGTTCCTTTAATATAAATGGTGGTCCGGAGAACACAAACCATGACATGAGATTACTGATAATCATTATTCCTTTATTAGTATTTTTACCAATAGACCCACAGAATTGGGAGCACTGGGCTGCCGGGGAGCAGTTGGGGGTTAAGTGTCACAAATCAATGTCGTTCACAATTGCGATTTAAGCAACTTGTTTGATTTGTTTGTATTTTCAAACATCAGTTGTTGAAGAGGAGTGGGTTCACAATTAATTGCAAGGTGTTTTATTGATTTAAAAGCATTTTAATCTACTCACTATGTATGCCAGCATACAATAATAAATGTAGCTATGATAAAGAAAAAATGAATCTGTTTTATTGTATGTCGTGTCAGGTGTTTCTCTCCCTGGTGAATTTGGTTTAATAGAGATGCTAATGGAACTGAAAAAAAAACGGTTCAGGTACACAACTATACAAATCCCAATTGAGTACTTCTGGCTCCCGCCGTAAGAAGGAACGCAGAAAAGTAGAATAGAAGAAGAAAAGAAGGAAGCCGTGTCTTAAAAATAGAAGAACTATGTGCGAGACACAGCCGAGGTGAACAAGTCAAAGAATGCATTTTCCCTCCAACTGAGGTCTCTGGTCACCACACAAATGGGAGCTCACCTGAATAGGACCAATAGGGGTCACCGGCTGCCCTCCTCTCCCTCATTACGCCCGAGGTCCCGTGGTGCCTCTCTTCCGCATGGTGAGGTTGGCCACCTGATGCAACTGTGGGAGGCAGACACAGATGTGAGAATCTCCGCAGGCACAGAAAAGTTTCGACTAAGTCTGGAGAAATACTCTGACAGATTTAAAGTGTACGTGATGTGACAGAAAAGGAAACATTAAGATTAATTGAACATATAAACATGATGTTATGGAACAAAATTCAATAATATTAACGTGGAAAGTAAATACACTTACATAGAACAGATTAGGAAAGAATTATATATATTATATGCTCAAACTTGTAGATTACAGTTAAAGAACATCTAAACATCACTTTGACAAAACTTTCAGTCAAAGAGCCTCCAAAATTGCAGCTGTTGAGCTCCTCCCAGGAGAGTCTGCAGTCCCAAGTGGCTGCAGTGACTGAAGAATACTTCAAGAAAAACTTTTGACTAGAGATCCATCTCGGCCTGGATATTATACCAAAGGTATGTTTCCTGAACATCCTAGTCTCACAAGCTGAACCAGTGTACACCCGAAGAAGGAGTGGTGACAATGTGCAGGATGAAATCATCTGCTTTCAACCCAGATGACATAAGTTGACACATAATGGGCTGTAATGTTCCAAACCAACTGGGATCTACAGAAAGCAACCATTTAGAACTCGAGTCACACTTAGTTCATTTAACAAAAGAAGAGCATTTGTATGCCATTCAAGCTATACTAATGTAGATGTTCCAGAAGAAAATCAATTGGTTGTTCCATGAAATCCTCTTTTTGTACATTTTGGCATTTTTTTTTAAAATCAAAATACTCTGATTACTTGATGTATACATGTGATAATCCGTAGAATAAATAATGGAATAGCATTCACATAATGTCACAATGGCTTGCCTGCTAAGTTCTTATTCCGCAAAATGCAGACAATGTAAGTTATCAGGAGTGTCGACAAAACCCTGTGTCTTCAGGGCACAAATGTCCACACGAAATCAAACATCGTCAACAGAATTACAGCGAACGCTACAGGCACGACGTGTCCTGGAGCACACACACACTCGCTAGTCCCAGACTTGCAATAATCAAACGCATCGGGGGAAAGTGTGCTCCACAATGGGTGCAGCCTGTGCCAGTAGGGGAGGACGCATTTCTAAAGCAGAACTCATTGTCAATCATGTGCTCAACGCAAAAACAACAGCGTTTTTGTGTTGCTCGGAGCGGTCAAAGCCCACTGTCACATGGGAAAACCCACCGACGTGTATTGGCTAATATTGGTGGCATTTTGCTAGAAGTATGCAAACAATTGGGTCGGCAGATTGTTTCTGTGTAACAGGGAACGGACGGAAAAACAAAAGGAGACATGACTAGTATCAAAATGAGGCAGAAATCATTCCCACCAGCTGCAATGCAGTTTTTCAATCCATTTAGATAAACTGTGTTGTATATAAAAAAAAAATGGGTTCACACATTTGCCTCAGCCAAAAAAAAAACAATAAAACTAACAAAACAGTTAATTCCTGTACGTCACGAATTGAAAGACCGACCAGAAGTATTTGTGCACCATGATACAAATAATATACTCACAGCGATATCTACCAACACACATCCAGACTGTGCATCCTTTAAGGGTTCTCTCCATAACAGGTTAAACCCTCCGTTTACACAACACATGTGACCTTCTCCTACTGCATTAAGAACACGCTATGCACTGTAACCATGGCAACTAATATATATACATCACACTTGTCAGCAGTCTGGTGGGGTTAAAAGTAACTTTACAAACAGCAGAACTCCCTGGACTCGTGGAGCTCAACCTCCTGAAGGCAGTCGGTTGAGGTTCATGAGCATCTGCACACATCAAATACACACACACACACGCACACACACACACACACCTTCAGCCACTTCAGATGAGCTCGGCTCTTACTAATAGTTGCATCATTAATTAAATGCAACACTAAATCAGGCCTTTCACTGTACTTGCGAGCCAATGCGTTACGCTCTCCAGAACTGGTCCCCACTGCGCAGTCAGCAACTCGCACTGCGTTTTCCAAATTCATTGTTTTGCGGGAGGCCAAAGAGGCAAAATGGGTGAAGTCAAAAAATGGCTGCTTCCTTATCATGCGACGGCATCAATTCAGCGCAGCGAACACCGGGGTGAGCGCGGAGTGTGAAACAGAGACGCGGGGTGTCTCTGTGGCAGACACTTGCGGACATATTTGAAGGCAGGTTGTGAAACAGGAGGCCTGCGCCGTCTTTGATCAGAGCGCATAGGAGACAGCGCCGTGTCAACAGTTTACTCTCATCCATGTCAGCTGTCCCCCGTGGGCAGAGGATTAAAGCCACAGCATCTCCGATAGAGCCGAGCCCAGAGAGGCAGCGCAGGCGGCGCTGGGCCTGAAGGAGCCGGAGGAGGGCTGCACGGCATCAAACAACACGCGCAGAGCTTAGATCCATTAAACACCAGTGAATGGCAATTATGTCGGGGTGGCGATGGGATGCTCTATTCGGAGAACGTGGCCCAAAAAGGAGTTTTGACTGTTGGACCTTGTGAAACCGGGCCACAGGTACGTTCCCAGGAAGCACGGAGGAATTAAAAGGCTTCAATAACAACGACAAAACAACAGCTTGCAGCATTTCCCCTAATTATGCAACTTCACCAGGGGGGGGTTGCAGTAGTCGGCCGATCAGGGTGGGGGTGGGGGTGGTTGGGGGAGGTATTTCAGGGTGAGCGGGGCGGCCCCCATGTTATGGGGGGAAACAACAGCATGTACATAGCCTAGGCATCCAAAATCATTTCCCTTTATTCATCGCCCCGAGGGCGGTTAAATCATCTGCACCACCATGAAGAAAAGCTATTTGTTCCATAATATCACACTCGACAACAAGCCAAGAACCCCTGAGAGCCCTTGAAAAACAGCAGCCTAACAACAACCACAGGAACGTTTAACTTCCATTAGTCATTGGGGGGCCGGAGTTAAAATATCAATCTTATCACAAACGCTAACATTAGTTATGTGAAGGACAGCGAAGAGGATTGTTTGGGGAGGGGGGAAATCTATCAAATGCATCCTGAATTTAGGATGTCGTTTACACATCAAGTGCTGCTGTTAAGGGGTTTTAAACACTTTCGTCAAGCCTCGTGCAGCTAAACGCTCCCAATATTTATGGATGAGTGAATATTGCTGTCTCCGCTGTGATTTGGGGAGATTTGCATGTTTGCTTAACACGGTGAACCCCAAATTCATTACAAAAGTATATTTTATGCTGCTTGTGTAGAACAAGACAAACTTCAGCCAGTTACAGTTAAATAGTGTCAGAGCCAGATGTGACAAACAGTCGGTTCCAGACTCATGTGACAATGAGAACTACCTGCACGGTAAAAGCGTGTGATATGGTAGCTAATGGTTTATGAAAGCTTAAAATAGCAGATATTAGGTCGAAAAAATAAAAACCAGGCCTTTTTGTTTCAGGATATGTGGTTGCCCTTTCCTTTGCACGTCCCGATAATTGCTCATCGGATCTATTTTACACTTCCAGTCAGGTGTTATTTAAATAGAAATAAACATTTTGGGGGGAAACTAAACTGTGATTTTCTCACGTGAAAATATTTTACACGCATTTCTTCTGACAAAAGCTCTTCAATCTGATCCGTCCTCTCGTAAACACTCCTCGTTTTAATAATGGCGGTATTGTGCTGTGAAAGCAGAAATGTGAGGCTGCGTAAAGGATGCAGTTAGCAGACCAATCGCAGCCTTGCGTCGCGTTTGACGCAAGCCTAGAAAAAATGGGTCGACGCAGGCAAGAGGTGTGAAAAGGCACGCAAGGGGCTCTTGCGTCTGCGTGTCCTTGCGTCTCTCGGAAAAAAGCAGAAGCATAAACTAGGCTTTACAATGACTGCTTATCGTATCACAATACACCCAGATGAAGGCTGCCATTGGTGTTAGTCCTGTTTAACAGACAGCGTCACTGTAGTTCGTCATTGTGAGAAGGTTGTCCGACACCACTATGTATCGGCAGGGAAGGAAGCAAGTCTTCTATACGTGTCAAGTCTTCTATACCAGCGGCGAGCAGAGACACACGGGCCCGGCGCTCCTGTTCGGAGCAGGCGTGTTTTGATCGGCCCAGTAAGAACAAATGAACACTAATTAGGCCCGCGTGAGTCACAAATGAACCCATTATCTTTCCCCATCCACAGTGCAACGGCTAAAGCTGTCAAACAGCCCCATAAAAACGCCAAAACCAATAAGGCATTAGTCCGTCCCTCAATACTTTACAGCAGTTAATAGTGTATTTGATGGGGACCATTTTCAGCTGCACGCGTGTGAGCGAGTATTTACTGAAGTAGGATTTACCGAAGCAGAATGGTGTATTTCGGATTGACTAAAAATAAACTACAGCCCCGGGGTTAATTGTAATGAAGGAACATGCCTCGCAGGAACAATAGATTCTGACGTCTTCCTAGCGGGAGCGATCGGTGTCGAATTTGGTGTTGTGATGTTGAATAGAATATAAACAGAAATAACATTCAAGGGCAGTAGTCAGTCAGTCAGGGATGTAGTTCAATGTTGGAGTATATCACCTTTCAATGGAATAAAATTGTGATGGAATAAAAAGAGTATATTGTGACGCAAAACGACATTAAATAAATGGATAATAACATATATAATTATATATATATATATATATATAATTATATATAATCACTTAATAAAATGAAAATTAATTGTTATTCATCTTTTAAATCGCAGTACATAGAACATAGATTCTATCTAGTCAACTACATACTTTATTGTGTCCCCATCACTGAGAAAGCTTCAGTTTAATTAAGCTTAATGATGAACATTTCACTGTCTCACCAGGTGAGAAACACAACCAACTCCCCTGTAGAGGCTCCACTTGATGTTTCACCAAAATGTCTTATTGCTGACATTTTCCTCCAGCATTCCCTGCTTCACATCCATAGAGCCACGCACACACTTCAAGGTACTGAGGGAGAAGAACGCATAACCCGGCACGTCAGCCACCTTCGTTTTCTCAACTTGTCCTTCAATTAGCAGGAG